TTGTAACCATTAAAATAAGCCCCTCAGAGCTTAAGAGAAAATTCCAGAAATCCACAGATTTCAGGATTTGGAAAATGCATAAGAGAAAATTTAAGGCAGGTGCCTCGGTGGCGATTTGGGGTGTTGCTGGCATGACTGCCTCCTGGGAATTAAAGAACGCTGACCAGCATGGTGTGGAACTGGCCAGGCCACACAGTGGACACCTGGAATGAGAATCTTCCAAACAGAAACCCAGTCATGAACTGTCCTTGTGGTGGGAACAAAAGTCAGAGGCCAAAGAGAATGGCTGAGTAGGAATCAAATAACCCAAGGTTTTTTCAACATAAATCACAGAAGATTTAAATTCCTCCCTCATACTTACAGAACTCTTGGTCATCTCCGTTAACAGAAGTTTTAATATAAATGAATGGATAAAGGAGGGAAATTAAAAGACCTCAGGTCTAGTGAAGGCTAGAACCTTCTACATACTCATACCTACTGGGTACATGACCTCCAGCAAATAACACACCCGGCCCCGAGCTTCTCCCCAGTGATACGGGAACACTAGCACTTCCCCCTCAAGAGTTAAAATGAGGATAAGATAGTGCACGAAAGATAAATACAGAAAAGTGCTATGAAAAGGTAATCCTGGGGCGCCTGGGTGGCTCAGTCGGTTAAACGCCTGCCTTCGGCTCAGGTCATGATCCCAAAGTCCTGGGATCGAGCCCGCGTCAGGCTCCCTCCTCAGTGGGGAATCTTCGAGTCTGCTTATCCCTCTCTCTCTCTCCCTCTGCCCCTCCCACTGCTCATCCTCTCTTTCTCTCAAATAAATAAATAAAATCTTAAAAAAAAGTTAATCCTATAACATATAAAATGTTTATCACCAGTAATGGAAATAATGGCTGTGATAAATACTTTTGAAATAAACTAACGGGGGCACCTGAGTGGTGCAATTGGTTAGGCATCTGACTCTTGGTTTCAGCTCAGGTCGTGCTCTCAGGGTGGTGAGGTGGAGCCTGTCGTCAGGCTCTGCACTCAGCACGGCGTCTGCTTGAGATTCTTTCTCCCTCTCCCTGCCCCTCCTGCTTGTGTTCTCTCTCTCTCAAATAAATAAAATCTTTAAAAAAAAAAAAGGCGGGGGGAGAAACTATCAGATCCTACTCTAGAGTGAATGGGTGTTAGAAAGGGAAATGTTCTCCTCTTCTTAGCAGGTCTCCACAGTGAAGGCACCCAGGAGGGTAACTGCAGCTTCCACAGGTCAACCTCAGCCCACAAGGAGCAGTGTGAGACTTCTTTCTTCAGAAGGAGTGTTGGGGTTATGGCCGGGAGCAGGCATCTTAGCAGGGGAGAGTCAGTGGGGTGGGCTCAGAAAAATCGGGCCATTTCACATACTATCTCTGAAATTGGGGGATAGTTATTTGTTCCCTTTGGACCTCCAAGTGTTAGGTCTAAAATAAACCATAGGGGGGCGCCTGGGTGGCTCAGTCGTTAAGCATCTGCCTTCAGCTCAGGTCATGGTCCCAGGGTCCTGGGATCGAGCCCCTCGAAAGGCTCCCTGCTCCGAGGGAAGTCTGCTTCTCCCTCTCCCACTCCCCCTGCTCATGTTCCCTCTCTCGCTGTCTCTCTCTCTCTCTCTGTCAAATAAATAAATGAAATCTTAAAAAAAAATTTTAATAAAATAAAATAAACCATAGGTTTCCTACATCTTTTCCAGTACAAAATTCCTTTGATTCTCTATCAGGTAATAAGCAGATAAATTTGAAAATAATAAATAGGTGGAGTGCCTGGGTGGCTCATTCGGTAGAGCCTCTGACTCTTGTTCTCAGTCAGGGTCACAAGTTCAAGCCCCACACTGGGTGTGGAGCCTGCTAAAAAATAATAATAATAATAATAATAAAATAATAAATAGTTGACTTCAGGATAGTTTTTTTTATTGCAAGTCATATGTTAAGTAACAAAAGGGATTACACAGATCTATTGTGAATCAACATCAGGCAAGAATTAACTTGGGTTTTGTTGAAAAGATTTTTTTAGTTACTTTATAACTCGTATCTCCACTAGGCTTGTCAGCCATTCTTACAGGCTACACTTTCAGTGTGCTGTTTAAAAGACAAGATTAAAAATCTTTAATCATTGATTTAAGGAATTTGAGTAATACTGTTTGGTTTTTTACCAGGCATCTTAAATATTTAAGAGAGAATGTGTCAATATTTGGACTAAATGAAAGAAAGATGCAGGAATACATGCGCCCTGTTGGTTATTGAGATGTTTCCCATTGTAGAAAAGGAGTAGATTTTGTTGCCAGCCTTAAGCTGCCTTGCTGTCAAGCAAGAAGAAACAGAGTGGGAAACAATCTGAATTCGCCTATGTTCTATCTTTGTTAAGGCATCTTTGAGTCGGCTAACATATGTTACATACAGTAAATTAGATTAGATCATGTAAGTTTGGAGGCAGCTGGTTGCTTAATGGCTTTAGCTTGTATCGTATAACTCTTAAACACAAAGGAGAATGTGAGAAATAGTAAACAATAAAGCTCTATAATAATAGAGCACTCATTTTGATATTTGATCTATAGCATGCCAAACTTCCAAATAACTGAAATTTCCAAGCAAACCTGAAAAGATTATAAATGACTTCTGAAACGTTTTCTGGAAAGCCACATCATTCATTCACAAGTGCATGCATTTATTCATGCTTAATAAACCATGTGCTGGGCTCTGCAAGGTCCCTGCTAGGTGACAGGGGTCGGTCACTCCATCCCACCAACTTTCTCTCAGCACTTCAGTGAATGAGAATTTGTTGGCATGCATCGTGTTTTAGGAAAGCAGTGTAGTGGGTGAATTCTCATGTGTTCTGTGCAGATTCTCCCACGTGGCGGGGGAAATAAGTTAAGATAAAGGCAAACAAGCTGTTGACTGCCCCCCAAGAATATGAAAAGTTAGTCAGTGAGGGCAGGTGGGGAAAGAATGCTAACAATGGAAAACTCTCACTTTCTAGCCCCCAAAGACAACCTTGTGTATTTCTTTTAGTAAAACATGTTCCCCACAATAGAATGAGGGGTTTTGTCTGCCTAGGGCACTTCTAGAAAAATATGTGATATGTTCACTTACGAGATGTTCAAATTTTGTTGAATATTGATAAAACACGGCTATTAAAAAAGTACAATTAGAGCATGGTCTTGGAACTTGATTTATTAACACAAGGCCCCAAGCTCATCCACAGATTCATCAGATGTTACAGCTACAAGGATCTTACAGTTAACGCACTGGAGGCCAAGCTCACTATAGTGACTACAGCAAGAGCACTGAACAGGGAGTCGTGATACTGAGTCTCTGCCATTTAGCTGGAGGGGCCTCTATAAACCCCTCCAGAAAGGAAGGAGGCAGTGCGGTATTTTGGTCAGGACTATGGGCTCAGAGTGAATTCAGGATTCACGATGACTAATGATTGGCCTGAAGTTTCTAATGATTGAGCCTTAGTTTCTCATCTGTAAAATGAGGATAGTAATAATACCTACCACACTGGACTGTTGTAAGAATAAATGAGGGAAGGCGTGTAATCCCACTGGCCCTGAGAAACCAAGAAAAGAAAGACAATTCCCTGCATACAGATATGTTGTACTATACGTGCAACCCAAGCCTGCTCAAGGAAATTTTGTGTCACTTGCACACCACAAAGAAATCATCACCATCCTCAGAAGCCATTAGGTGCATCTGAGAGACGTCAGGGCCAATTTCTGGGGATGGAAGGGAGCCTCTACTGGGCTCACAGCCATTGCTTCTCCCTTGGAGGACAGAAGCCCAGGAGACTGAGGTCTGGGGAGGACAGTGTCCCAGTCTCCCCAGCTCTCCCTATTAAAGAAACCTGTCTGGGGGGAAAGATGACCCCAAAAAGTGACAAAAAGGCAAACTGGAGATTAAGAGCATAATTGCAGGATATTCCTAAACTCCAACACTAAAGCAAAAGGATTATTGAGTAACAAACTGTATGTAGCCTTTTGGAGAAGGGCTCATAGGGTTTCATAGGAGGAAGAGTTTTCATTGCACCTGCCAGGAGCAACTTTCAAAGTCTTCATTAGGCATTTCTCTGCAATCTTCTCATCTGCCACTCCCCTCCACCACCCCGAGCACTTCTGGATCTGCTTCTACCCAAGGAAATTCCTGGTCCTGCATGGCTCCTCTCTATGTTAGATTTTTCCTTTTCCAAACCCCCAACTTTAAATTCTTTATGCCTCCACTGTCTAGAGCTGATCAGCCCCCACTACTTCACAGTCCAAACCTGGCATATTTCCAAAGGCAGCACCAGCAAGATGGCATCCATCTAATGACATCCAGCATTATTAGAAGGCAGCTGTGGTTACAGATGTTAGAGTGTATTTCCCCCAATACAGCCTAACTCATTGCTTGGATCCCATAGTGAATATACATGTTGGTCAACCCAGCATCCATCTGACCTCTTTTCAACTGAATGCATATTCCCCTTCTAGTATCTACCCTCCCCTTCATGCAGTCCAATGCTTTCATGGAAGCTGACCTTTACCCCAGCTCCAGTGGTGAACCCTGAAGAATCTAAGCCAATTAGACTATTCCCATCACCTTTGCCAAATTTCTTGATTCAGGGATGGCTGTGTAACTCATTAGGGCCAATGAGAAGTGACAGGGGACTTTCTGAGTTTCTGAGAATGGAATTTCCTTGCTCTTCTGAGCAAGCTATGGGATGCCAGCGCTCTCCCACTGGACAGAGCCATCCTACAGCCCAAGATGAAGCAGCCTTGGGGTTGGCAAAGGGAAATGACTCACAGAACCTGGGTCTTAGCTAATGTTTTTAAGCCTCTGGACCTCTAGCTTAACACCAGTCCACCTCTGATGTCTGGTTACCTGACTAGCTACTCATTTAAGCCAGCTCCAGCTGAGGTTTTTGTGTCCTGCAGTCAAAAGCATTCTAACTGAGATAGGCCCCATTGTTTCTTATGTACTGATCTTAAAATCCAACTAGACCACAAATTCTTGAAGGACAGAGACTTAGATTTCTTTTGTATTTCCCGCAGTCCTTGGGACATGGCAGGAGTCTGAGTTTCAACAATGGGCTGGTTTGTTATGTAAGATCCTTTAAGTAAGGTCCTTGGTTTTTGGACATTAACTCTGAAGTATAAGAATTCAGATTCCTGTCAATAAACAATTATTACACTTGATCTTAGCCAAAAGGCCGAGAAGCGATGCTATCAATAAACAATTATTAATGAAAATAATGGCTTTGGATAGTTTGGAATTCTAACCACATGGGAGTCATAATTATAAATTACAACTCAGCCTGAGGGAATTCAAACATTCTTCTCCACCTCGTCCTCCATATTCCTAAGAATTGACTTCTATACAGGCAGCATCTAGTCAAACCCCCAAATCTGTAGAGAGTCTCGGTGGTTTTTAATAAATGTGTTCATGAATTTGGAAGCATAGATTTTTTTGAACATATTAACGAACTTTGAAGAAATAAGCCTTTCAAGAGAAATTCAACTGAAAATTCTCCAAGGTCAAAGAAAGAAAAGAAAAATTAGTTTAATCAAGCAACCAGCCAGTGAGTGGAAGCTCTTCTCACTCAGGGTGTAGACTGTATCGTTTCAGGAATCATACAAAAAGCAGAACATTCAGAAGCCGCCCAGAACTTGTGCCCAAATCACAGCACAGAGCAGTGCTGGACAGTATGTATTCCGAGGACCAACTCTGACTGGCATCTATCTTGTTAGCAAATACATTTTTACTTGCAGGGAAACCCTACTCAGAAACCACACACATTCCTCTTCAGTCCTTCAGTGAGACTCTACTGCACTAAAGCCCTGGCATTTGTGCTGATTTTAGAAAAAGAAAGACATATTTATTAGGATCTCTTATAACATATTAAAATGCTTCTGTGCTAACCCAGGACAGTGTCTTGGTCATTTATGTAAGATTTCCTGCATATTTCAGTGATCAACTTGCAAACTCTCCAAAGCTCCAAGTCACTCTGGAGCCTCACCCTGTCCCCTACCCCACATCTAGAACTTCCATGCTGTCACCCCGAGAGCTCCTGAAGTCCACTGTCCCTAGGAAGCAGTCCCTGACTCCCTTTTCAGGCACCCTATCTGAAAATGAACTTCACAGAATTCCCCCATCACTCAACACCCCCACAGGCTGCATTTACCATAATGGAAATACTTTATTTATCATAGGTATTTATTAATGTCTTCAATATGTTTATTTATATCTCCATTGTATGAGGTTCTAAATGTCAAGGATCTTGTCAGATTCACTCAAATTGAACAACAAGGAAAAACCATAAGGCAAATGGAGTGCTCATCATTCCTTCTCCTTGGCTCTGGGCAAGCTGCTTTTCAGAATACCTCTAACCACAAGTCATCTGCTGCACCTCCTTCCTTTCCCCTTTCAAAATGCAAGTGTCCCTTCCTCCAGCCCCACAAAACTCTGCTTCCTGCTAAATTTTTAAATCAGCTGTGTTATAATCAGCATGCCTTACTATGTTATCCCATCCAGTTGTCATAAAAGGACAAATGATGGGAATCTGACGTGACCTGACAAGGAGAGGCAGTTTGGCTCTAGGAGGCTGAGTTGTTCCATGAGGCAAGTATCCAACTTAAAGTGTTAAAGCCCACCTTGGTAAAGAGCCAGTCATGACACCCCACAAAAAGCAAAGCTTTAATAAGTGCTGTTGGAACAAGAATCATTTCCTATAGATATTTCTTCCACTCTTTTTTTTTCTTAAGATTTTATTTATTTATCTGACAGAGAGAGAGAGAGCACAAGCAGGGGGAGCGGCAGGCAGAGGGAGAGGGAGAAGCAGGCTCCCCGCTGAGCAAGGAGCCCGATGTGGGGCTCAATCCCAGAACCCTGGGATCATGACCTGAGCTGAAGGCAGACGCTTAACCGACAGAGCCACCCAGGCGCCCTTCTTTTTATTCTTTATAAAGCACTTTCACACATATTATTTTGCTAATGATGATGTGATACACACAAGTACGAAAATAGAGCCTTAGAGTCTAAGTGCCTCTCTAAGCATGACACTAGCATGTTATCAGACAGGACAATGAAGGTATTTGTAGTTTCTTTAAAGGCAATTTTTACAAATTTGGGGAAACTACTGTTTTGTTTGTAGGTTCACTCTTCTACTTCCCTGAGACAGGCAGAAAGGGACTTGAAGCCATTCTCGTCTTATTCTCTATTCTCTTCTCTCAACTATGACCATCCCCACACCTTGGAATGTTCGTGGGAGGGAAGGAGAAGCTATTTCTTCCTGCTAAGAAACCTGATCGCAAGACAAGCAACATGTCAGGAAGCAGTGTTCTTCAGGGGAAATGCTTATGACTCTGATCCTCCAGGACTACAGAAGGGAGATAGCCTTCCTCATCCTCTTCCTCAGGACCCCCCCGGCCCTCAGGCCCTTACCCCATCCAGGGTGGGATGAGAGAAGTGACCTCGGCGTAAGGTAGAGGCTGGGGACCCGGGAACTTGGGGATTGATTTCCCCGGGCATCAACAGCCTCTTAGACCCAACCCAAGAGATGAGTTTCTAGCCAGGACCTCTACACCTTCACACAAACATAAACATGGCATGCAGGGGTGTGCCTGCTCAGCCTCCAGGTGGTACTGCAATTCCTGCCTTCTCCCCAAACACGTACGTTCACAACTCCCTGGATTCCAATTGGGAGTAGGAGGTAGAGAGTGGAAAGGCAGGTCAATCAGATACTTAAAGATGAAACATCCCAGGTGTGAGGCCAGAGGCCAGGTGGCTCTGCATGAAAGGAAGGTGGCAGTTTTTGTTTATCTAGAAAATGCAGGAGGGGAGGCCTGGCATTCTCAGATACCTGTTTCTCTATTCTTTTCATTCAAACTAAAAGTTCAACACCTCGAATCACTGGAGAAAGACGGGCTTTCACAACATCTTGTGGATTTAACAAATTCTAGCCACTGCTTACCCAAATCTTACTCTTTGCAAAATACCCCAGGAGATATATTTATTTATTTGACAGAGAGAGCGCGAGCGCGAGCACAAGCGGGGAGGTGGGGGCAGAGAGAGAGGGAGAAGCCCTTTCCATGCCCAGCAGGAAGCCCGACACGGGGCTCAGTCCCAGGACCCTGAGATCATGACCTGAGGTGAAGGCAGATGCTTAATCGTCTGAGCCACCCAGGCGCCCCCTACCCTAGGAGATATAAAGGCTCATCAGGTCAGGGTTATAGAAGAGGCACTAAATGGAATTCAAGGGCATTGCACAGTTCGTTGTTTAGTGTTTCCAAAACTTTGCTCCACAGAATACTTAGGATTCCACAGTTAGACTACACGAGAAAATGCTACATGGGATTCCCCCTCCTGAAAATTCCCAATGGCTGTGAGCATATTCAATGCTTTCTGGATCGATGGATGGATGGCTAAATTAAAATCTTTATATCAAAAAAGTCAAGCGATAACAAGTGTTGGTGAGCACCGGGAGCAAAGGGAACACTTGTGCCCCAATAGTAGGAATATAAACTGGCACAGCCACCATAGAAAATAGTATGAAGTTTCCTCTAAAAATGAAAAAATAGAATTATCATACCATCCAGCAATTCCACTTCTGGATGTCTATCTGAAGGAAATAAAATCACTATCTTGAAGAGATCTCTGCACTCCCATGTTCACTGTGGCATTATTTACAATAGCTAAGACATGGAAACAACCTAAGTGTCCACTGACTGAATGGATAAAGGAAAGAAATATTATCCAGCCATTAAAAAAAAAAAAAAAGGAAATCCTGCCATTTGTGATAACATGGATGAACTTTGAGGGCATCATGCTAAGTGAAATAAGTCAGACAGAGAAAGACAAGTAATGTATGATCTCATTTTCATGTGGAGTCTAAAAAAATTAACTCACAAAAACCGGTGGTTGCCAGGGACATGGGGTGAGGAACAGGGCGGGAAACGGGCAAAAGTGGTCAAAGGGAACACACTTCCAGTTGGAAGATGAACAAGTCCCGGGGACATACCACACCGGATTGTGACTATAGTTAACAACACTGTATTGTATATTTGAAAGTTGCTAAGGGAGAGTAGATTTTCAAAGTTCTCAACACACAAAAATTCTAACTATGTGAGACGGACGGATGTGTTAACTAACCTTATTGTGGTGATCATTTTGCAATATCCACAGATCACGGCAGTTGTACATCTTAAGCTTACACAATGTTACATGTCAATTACATCTCAATAAAGCTGGAAAATAAAATAATAATCTCTAGGTGGTTGCCTCTAGGTATGCCCTCCCGGAACCTTTAGGTTGCCAATATTCTCTTTGTGAGCTCTAAGTAACAACTAGGGTAGCCACCTTGGAGACAATGATGCTCTTTGTTTCCAGTCTGCCAACCTAAGACCTCTCTCTCTCTCTCTCCCATGTATTTAAAAGCTTATGTCTTTTTGACACCTGTAAGCTAAACAGGCGCAGAAGAGCTAAATAACGAATTCAGCCTTAGGGATAACAGGCACTTACCTGAAGAGTTACACGTTAGAAACTACTCACAATAAACCTGTTCTGGGGGAGGATGATATCATTTTAAGTACAATTCCAGTAAATTCTACAACCAACAAATTCAAGAAACAATCTCAGGGAGCTCGGGGTATGGACTTGCCATTTTTACTAAGTCTGTTTACTCTCACATCCTTATGACCTTCAGAAATTGATCTAAATTTCTGGCCTTGTCCATTTCAAGGAATGCAGTAAGATGACTGAGTTCAGTTCCACGCTTAATCCAGATGTCTAGATTAAGACCTGAGTCATGAACCTCTGAATTGTGGCACATTGCACTTCTAAATGTTCTCTTAGCCACTAATTTGCTGACATTTCAAACAAATGATGTCCGCAAAGTGGATCTGAACCCAGGCCTTTACTTCCCAGGATCAAAGAACTGACAGAGCAAATGAAGCCCGTGAAGTGGATAAAAACAAAGTGGAGAGATGACACGACATAAATATTTGAGTGTCAGCCTCTCAGCTGCTCACAGAACAGTTGGACAACGATTGCCTGGCTCTCCTCCGTATGGCCTAGTCACCCTGCTCGCTCCCTGCACTAGGCTGTGCCCAGAGCAGGACTCTGAATGCTACAAACACAGACTCCTCACCCATCCACAACCATGCCTTCCCTGGTCCACTCCCCACTTAAAATAACATATTCTGCACAACAGTGTGAAGAGACTTA